TGTTCCAGGGCAATAATGTATCTTTGAGAGAATGACCGTAATGTCTCTGGAGTTCAAGTCTCCGTTGGTTGGTGGCTTCTTGACGCAGCAATCTGGCGGCAATTGCTATTAAACACCCCAACATACAAAGTCCAATTATAGGTGCAGCGATCATACCTGCTCTTAACCAAACCTCACGGCGTAAAGCAGATTCCATGAGAGCAATTCTGTCTTCAGATGGATCGTCTTCAAATGCATCTGTAAAATGAGTAGATAGGAATAAAAATTAAATTAAAAGAAATTATAATCAAAAATAACCAAATATTACATTCAAGAATTATTGAGAAAGTGGCCTGGGATATTCTGCATCACAAAATTAAACAATATAGACATATTCAAATTTTAAAAAAATCCAATATATCTCTAAAACATATTAATCTCTTTTTCCCTCTTTTACTGTAGTTGAAAATAATAATTAAAACACTACGCAGTTTTTAAAAATTCAATTAATGATAATGACAATTCTTATGTACAGAATATGCCTAATTAAAAAACTCCAGTACTTACGTAACCGCTGACCAATTTCGCCAAGACATCGCCATTTCAAGAAATATCGCCAAATTCTATCATTCTTATTATTACTGTCTTCGAACGTGCGAGGAAACTGTTTCCACTATTCCTTCTTCGTGGCATTTGACGACGTCTTTTGATTTGACGAAATTGGTCAACGATATAATATGTAAGTGCCAAAAAACTATAATAAAAGTCTATTTTATTGTTTATTGTTATAAACAATAAAATAGACATTTTTATTGTTAGCTATTTTCGCTGACATGACTGGAAAATAGATCCTAATCTATCTTCTTTTATGTTATCTGGACTATTTTACATTTTTGATAAAATGGTTAAAAGCTTTATTATCAATTTCTGTGAGAAAATCACGTCCTTTTTTAATGTATGAATATCCCGTCAATTTCAGTAAAAACAGCCTCATGGATTCTATATTTTTAACTCAGTGTTTAAAATGATTAACAGCCAAAAAACAAGATACTAGTAGATTTCTCCCTTTTCCTTTTTATGCAATATTAATAGCTTATTTTCAATATAATCAATAGCAAAAGGTTGAACAAATAAAGCATTTTTTATAAAATGTTGTCTTTTTAGAAATGTTAGATCAAAAATTCTGGATTAAGGTCACGCTATAAACATAGTGTAATCTCTTGACATTTTGCACACAAACATATTAATTCTCTAAATTTATAACAAAAGACAATTCACTTTTTAAACAAAACAAAAAAAAAAAAAAAACTAAGGCAGTTAATACAGCCCAAATGAAACAATTATAACTAAAACAGGCAGGGGCACAACGGAGAACGTTTGGGCCCCCTGCAAAGTCAGGTTTTGGGCTCCCAAGTTAGATTTTACAAAGAATAGGTACTTGGCAGCAGTCAGGCTTCGGATTCCCTAGAACCCTGGGCCCCCTCGCGATGCGGGGGTGTACTGAAAACAAGAAATATGAGCTAATATATAGTTGCCTTTTTTGAAATTGCAATTTTTGCCAAATGAAATTTATAAATCACTGCAAATGGAACAATCAAAAACGTTTCTAAATTGTGTATCCAATTCCCCTTAGAAAGAAATTTACATTACATCAATATTAAAATAATTCTAATGTTGAATCTCAAGAAAAAGTTTAGTTCCACTGTTCATCAAAAAATTAAATTAAAATAATACGAGATCATAGGAATCAATTCATAATGAAAAGATAAAAATCAGAATATAATTATATAAACAGTTTGTTAAAAAAGGGAAAGGGGCGGCAAATTATTGACATTTCACAACCTTTCGTATTCAACAGATGCAGTGGCGTACACAAGGGTGGGGTTTAGGGATTCAACCTTCCCCCGGACCAACAGATTTTTTTTATCTTTACCATAGAGATTACCCCCAGGGCTGTAGCCTCCCATAAAAGAGCTCTACTGAACAGATATATAACGGGTAACAATAGGAAAAAAAAGGGGGAAAAAACCAGAAAACTTGGTACTAAGCACAAAGTCTCATCTTACCTGCCATAGGTGACTTATTCGTATGCATGTTGATGTCCAGTTGGATGTAGTTACACATGTCCTCTTTGCAGCAGTGTAGCCCGAGACATTTTCTCTTTTCTAAGCAACCGTGTAGTCCACTCTCAAGGTCGCTGAAGCACAGTGACCGAGACTTGCACATGTAGCCAGTGGAGACGCAGGTGGCCTGGTTACAGTAACATCGAATCTCACCTGGAAAGTAAAGAATGAATAAATATTAAAATGATTACACACTGATATTCGAAATGTTTTCAGTTTTCTTCAGTTTTAAAAATTTTTAAAAACTGAATTACATAAAAAAAGACTTTTTGAAGATTAAATTTGCGGATAAATCATAATGCATTCATGAGAAACAAATCTTAATTTTGTCTCAGAACAAAGTCAGCTTTTCTCTGAATGTATTTCATAATTTTGTGCAAGGCGAAACATTTTTACTTTTCTCTTTTCAGGAGATTCATTTTTACTTTTCTTTTGAAAATTATATTCGGTAAACCTCTTTTTAAAACAAAGGCTTATTTCATAACTGCCTGGTGAACACTCATATAGTGTTATTTGTTGAGCCTCACGATTAAATTTTAATTTTTCTTCTGCTTTTCTTATGTGTTTGAACTTTTATAACTTTGAATAAAAAATTCGATACTATTCTGTTAGCGCGTCGATGCTTAGAAATAAACGCAAACACACAAAAGGTTACCAGCTGCGCCAAATAAAAATTGCAATTTGTTCGTCTAATTTTCAACTAGAGTTTTGTCAATTAACTGTTAATATAATGGATTACACATTTTGGCATTTCCCAAATGATGAAGAAGCTGTTGTCAATGAAAAAGCAACAAACTAAAAATTTTTTATAGCAATTCTAAAAGATATTTGCATTTTCAAGCCGTCTGTTTTAGACTGAAATTTGTCTTTGTGTTATATTCATATATATAGGTCAAAATAAATTATCCTGCTGATACATATTTTTGAAACAATCATTTTTTCCTTTCCATATATTTTGTCTTGAGAACTCGATTCATATTCTTATTTTTGGCAACAATTGAGTGGCCACGGTACTGATTGGATCGTTGCCAATTTTGCCTTCGTACAACTTCAAAAGTAAAACATCTAAAATATTCGTAAAAATCAAATTTACAAAAAAATTCGAAACATATTGGCAACAATAAAAAAAAGTGAGGTGCCACGTTAACGAGAAATTATATAAAAAAGCATATTTTTCAATACATAAATTTAAAACTCTAAAATTTTAGTAGATAACTTATAAATTCAGTGGCACACACAAGGCTGGGGTTTGGGAATTCACCCACCCCCCAGTCAATAAATTTTTAATTTTCACCAAAGAGATTACGCCTCTGCCCTTTCGTCTACATGCTTTTAGAATATAACCCCCTATAAGAGGTACGTGAACGCTAATGTATAAATTAAACAGTGTTTTTAAACCTGTACTGTTTAATTCCCCCCAAAAATGATACTAAGTAATAGATTCCCGGGTTTTTGTTTATTTATTGATAGTTGAAAATTGCTATCCAAAATATAGCTAGTTGTGAATCTCAAAAGACTTTCAAGTATGTGAATAACAACAAAAACTAAAAAGAAATCTTTTTTTCTTTTCCCCAAAAAAATTTGATAAAAAATACATTCAGATAGAAGAATTTCCTCAGACAAAATTAAGTAGCAAAACTGTATCTTCCACTTGGCACACTTGTTACATTTATCCTTAAGCACCACAAAAAGAAAAGAACTAGGCGTACTCATAAATCTGAAAAGATCTAATCTTCATTCGCCATTTACAAAACCCCTGCAGTACGTTTTCTTCTCAAAGGAATTCAGAAAAGAAAAGGGTTAAGAACATCGTAAAAAAGACGAGGGGCAAAAGTTTAAAAAAAAATGAGAAAAGTAAGAAAAATAAGGAAGAATCTTCAAGTAGAAGCGATCGCTTGCATAAATATTACTCTGTGCGAAGGTCTTAACCAAGCAGAGTTGAGTAGATAAAGCCTGAATAGCCGCTTGCGCTTTTTTATCGTTCTTCCGAGCGGTTCAAGGACAGGCCACGAAAAAGATGACTCCTCATTAGAGGTTTTCATTTTTGAAGCACGCGCGTTTGCGCGCAGCAATATTATCTCTCCGTCTGAGAAACTTGGTTTTGAATTTTCAAAACTCAATTCAGACTATCGAGAAACGGAAAAAGAAAAAAATTTCAGATGTCAACGTGGAAAAGATAACAAATTCCATGCTTAAAAAAAAATGTCGAAATGGGAATGTGGTGTAGTTACTAGCAGCAACATTCTGCAATCGTTCATCTAGATTTACAGATTTAACCCCTTAACGTGTACGATCGAGTTAATTCGATCGCGCTAAACTGACCAAACTGTGCATAAACGAGATAATTCGTGCAGAGTCGTATTTTAATTCTGCTGTAATTTTCACACTCGAATATAAGCGATCGCCGAGCAAGACATCAACATTTGAAACGCATATGTTTTGTATCAAAATACTGAAATGAAAAAAATTTAGATTTCATAAGCAAATTAGTATTAAATTATACAAAGCTATCATTACGAAACAAATATAAAAAAAACTGATAGCCAAAATCTTCTAGAATTCCACGATTAACTGAACATCTCATTTTCCCAGTTTTCTTTCGACCAACATAAAGCAAGTGATATAAAGAAAAAAAATTGAGTCAGTTCCTACTTAGGTCAACAAAGAAAAATTTTATTTTAGTAACTTTTTATCAAATAATTACAATTAATATAAATATGTATATACATATGACAGAATCACAATATTAAATAGCAAAATAGAAAGCGATTTTCCTTTTCCCTTTCTATATAGGGTGTTGAACTATTATTTTGTTCGTAACTATTTATTTATATATTAAATTTAATTATTCTGATAAAACAGTATAGTAAAAAGAAATCCCATTCTCAGAAATTAGGCCATCCCACGTGGTATTCGTGCCCACGACCTTTGGATGAGAAGTCCAACACGCTACCTATTGCGCTACAGGAACACAACAATCGAATTTTCCTTTTTATATATGGTGTTGGACTATTATTTTTGTTACTATTTATTCATTAATTAAATTTAATTAATGAATTTATACTTGAAAAAACTGTATAAACATCCATTGTCGTACACTACAAGTTTTAAAAAATGCATTTGAACTTGAGTGGATGAATTGAAAGTATTTTTATTAACAATTAAAATTTTGAAAAAGATATATATATAAATAAAAAATATATAGGAAGAGCGTGAACTAATAGGAAGAATTGAAAAAAAGAAGCTCCTACAAGATACTGCGCTATGTGTTGAGCTAAAAAAGAAAGAAAAAGAAAGAGAGAAAGAAAAGAGTCATTGCATGTGTAATAATTGCAAAGTTGGGCTATATGTATTCACCTTGCTTCCAAATATATCAGACAAAATAAAATTTAGAATAATTCTTTTAAATAAATATTACTAATATTATTTCTGTTAAAAAAATATAAATAAATATTTTTACTGAGAAAAAAATATATGTGTTTTTTTTTCTTTCGAAACAGCTATTCGAAAAGAGAGATAACAAAAGTCGATGAACGTGCAAGATTGCATTATCTGCAACATGGATGAAAATCCATAATTCAAATAATTTTTTTATTTTTATTGATTTTTTTTTTTTTTTTTTTTTTTTTTTTTTTTAAAAAAAAATGTTTAAAAATATGTTTTCAAAAGTTTTTTTTTTTCTTTTCTGGTTGTTTTCAGAATAAATGTGCATTATAAGAGAGGTGTTAAAAACGTACAGATTTTTAAATTAAAACAGGATAAAAGTCACATCAAATTATAGAAAATTATCATAAATACACGGTGATAATTTGATTTTCAGAAGCAAAATTTGAATAAAAAATATAAGAGCGTTTTATTTTTAAGTTTTACTTACTAATATTAATCTTATAAAAAGAAATTATAATGAGGCATTCATATATAATGTAAACAGTTTTCATTGCAATGCCAGCAACATGAGATTCGTCCACTTTAAATAAGAAATAAGGAAAATATCGAAATGTTTATCACACGCGTTTATTTAAAATGCAATAACATGATGTTGCTGGAAGTCGATTTAAGGTATCCGACTACGTTCGGAACCGTGATTTTGCAAAAGCGTATAAATGGATAATATTTATAATATTTAGTGTCACTTAGATTATAAAATGTATATAAAATTTCTTTACGAATATTATTACAATACAAAAATTATTTAAGTACAATATTTTGACAAAAAATGAACATAGAATGACCCATTTTCAAAAAATTCTCCTTTTGCGAAAAATGCTTCTATTATAATAATATTTTGCCTGTATGTAGCTCAGACCTCTGTACAGAGGCTCAACTAGAATTTTTGAAATATATAACTTAGAAGTGGGTTTATCCATGTTTTACGACAACAGAGGGAAGCAATTTTAAGAAAAAAACGCCGATAATTATATATTTCAATGGTTGTATCTCTGAAAATAATGTGAATCTTTCAAAAAAAAATAAATAATATAGTTCAGACTCTTTGGAGAAGTCTTTACTTTATATAAGCACACACACACACAAAATACTATTGTTTTAGAAACATTTTTTTATAAAAGGAGAACATTTTGAAAAGAAAAAGGTTATTCTAAGTTCATTTTTTGCCAAAATATTGTATTTA